ACAGACAACAAATACAGAGAAAATTATATATATTTAGCTGTCGAAGTTTCTGTGTAAATTTCTGTTGCGCTTTTGTGTACTTGTCAACTAAATGTCTTCTTTTACACTTCATTAGAACTCCGGAGGTGTAAAAGCAGTCTTTTTTTTTTTTTAATAAAAAACTATTTTCTACAGGTGCCGAGCTTCTTCAGAACCTGGCGCAGTGTGATCCTTGCCCCCTTCATGACAGGTGACAGTAATTAATTTCTGTGTAAACTGTTTTTAAGTTAGAATAGTTCTCTCTTAGTCAGAAAGTGTAACATTTGTTATATACTGCAGTGCATTACCCTAAACATTCTGTATCTGTTTTACAGCCTCTCTTCCTCTCAGCCCCCATCAACAGACCACTTTCTACAAGACATTCGTACTTCTACTGAAGTGAGTGTGCTTAGTTACTCAAAGCTTCAAAGCTGGACCACTGCAAGGATAGAAGTTTATTAAATTTGAATATTGCAGTGGATTCTAATGGTCCTTACATATGAACTATTTCCACAGTTTTTACAATTTCCTACAATGATCATAAAACAGACTGCACTGTTATTTGTCACATTCCTATAGTGCATCAACACCTCTGACTCTAATGGTTTTATTGTGATTAGATGCCCATTTCTGTTGAATCTGGACCTGATTGGCATTGCCAAGCGTTTTGCCCAGTTCAACCTGATGGCCTACTCTCTTGGGACCCTCTTACTTATCCCCTGTTCCAAAAAGAGGGAGAAGCAAATCCAGGTGAGTTATTTACCTGAGTTATTTACAAACCTTCTCTTTCTGGAAGTAGCAGTATTTGGACACTGAATGACAGACTGTCATCTATGAAAATGGACTAAAGCACATTACAGCTAAAGACAGTAGCAACAACCATGATTTAACTTGAATTTTGTCTGCACCTTTGGCCATTTTTATAGATATTAGTATGTCATACTCTCTCAGAAACCACAAACTGATCTATTTGAGATTACCAAACAGTTTGAGAGAGGTGTGTGATTTATGTATGCAGTTAGCACACTGCTAATTGATGAAGAATAAGCTTCCATCACTTGTTCGTTTCATTAGCCTTGTAGCTCCAGTGTAAAGCTAATGAAGCAAACGTCATACACCAAACATGTCTCGGCTGATCAACTACATTAGTGGTGAGGGGGTGAGAGTGGGGTAGAGAGTTAAAGTGGAAAGTGAAATTATGGTCTGTAATGCTAAGGATAGCTGATGGTTCAACCTAGGAAAGTACTTTAGCAGAATAAAAAAAAAAGAGTAGCATTAATCAGTTGTTGCCTTAACACACTTTGGCACTACATTCAGTGAAATCTTTCTAATAACTCCCACTGTTTTTCTGTACTTTTGGTAATATTGTGCGTTTCTTGTAGCAGTCTATTCAATACTAGTATGAGCATTGACCCAAATATTGGCAGCGAACTGCTGGTTATATTGTGCAGTACAATTCAAGCACGAAGTTTACTCTCATTGTTTTGATTTTGCTTTTATTTAATCCCTTTTGTAATTTTACTGTTTGGGGTTCTTGTATTGTAGTGTATACAATACCAGCATGAGTGTTGATTCAGATATTGGCAGCAGGCTATAAACTACTGATGTTGCTTATTTTATTTAATATAAATCCCTGTAAATCCCAGTTTTAGTTTACATAATTTAATCTTTTATGACTTAGATATAGACATTAGATATATTGTCTGTACCATCACGTCTACATACAAGGACTGTGTACAAAAGTTAGTTTTATTTTTTAATATCAGCAGATACTTATATTCAGCATTTGTCCGTTCTTAGTTTTGCAGATTAAGTCTTGAGATATGGGGAGAAATGCGAAGAAATTAGAGATTTATGTTTTATTCAGTCACTGTCTGTGCTCATTTTTTTCCTCTGTTCTTTAAATTAGAGCTTCCTGTTGTCCTGTAACCCTGCGGTCATTCTGGATCAGCTGGAGGAGAGTATGAATACTGGACAGCTGGCTGGCATTCCAGCTCAGGTTTAAATACTTTTTAATACAGAAACTATCAAGTTCTCTTTATTTCATCAAGAATATGTAGTGTTTCCTGTTAGTCTCTCATATTTAAAAACTTGCTGACCCTTTTATCAATATTTATGAACAACAGATCAGAGATAGAGTGTTGACATTCCTCTTCCAAAGTGGCCACTACCAGACACTGATGAAGACCGAACACTTTCAGGCCCTCATGAAGCACTTTGTCTTAAAGGGTCTTTCTGAGCAAGTTAATGAGCTGGTTAAATACCTTGTGAACCACAACAGGTTAGTAGTCTTTAAATATAGCAGTTCCCACATACACTCATGTTTTATTTTGGTCTGCCTGCTATATATGTAAGGTGCAAAAGTTAAAGTCCACCCTTCATTATTTAATAAAAATAATAACGATTAAAAGATGTAGAGGAAATGAGACTCCTAACAACTGCGTAAGGCCTGGCTGACCACCAAAACTGTCCCCATCAGATAAACAGTACTTGAAGCTTTCATATTTAAGAGAGAGGATAAATCAATCTCCTCTCTTGCTTCAGATTTTAAAGGAAATCCATAGATGTTTGTCCATCCTTACAGTGTGAAAAGATAAATCAGTGCTATTGAGAAAAGGAAATAGACAACAAAAGGAAAAAAATTGCTAATCAAATAAAGCTGCTGGTAAATAAAGCACAGAACAATGTACTGGCCACCCCAGAATCCAGCAATGAATGCTTTAAAAAGTAATGAATGTGTTTTCTGTCTTGGATCATGGGGAGCAGAAAATGTCACCAGCTTTTGAGACTGAACTTTGGAGGTGGAAAAATATCCCAGCAAATTTCTTTGAAAACTGAAAACAAGGGAAGCAGTAATAAAAGCAAAGATTTGAAATTATATTTAGTTGTTAAAACGTTTATGTAATTTTCTGGTCAATGTCTTTTTCTTTTGTATTTTTCCCTAACGCTAAAACATGAATAATTTGCAGTTAATAGTTTGCAGTTGTTTTGATTAAAAATGTAATAAATTAAAGGTGGTCTGTATAGGTGTACAATTACAACATGTGGTCAGAAAGTGTCCATGCTGCATGGTTTTTATTATTCATTCAGTGCTTTGAATGGAACAGTATGGATAATTCTGTTGTGCAGCACAGTTCAGGGACAAAATTGTCTTTCTTTTGATTTTGTTTTTATTCAGTCTCTTATTTAATTTCACTGTGTACGACGGAGATAAATCTGACCTGAGATTGTTCAGTCCTGACCATATAGATCTGTGTTTCTCAGTCTGGGGAGGAACATATTTACCCACATATTTACCAAACATATTTACAGGTAATAATTCAGCAAAACAATCTAATTAATATAATTTTCTTACCTCAAATGTAGTTGATCAGCTGTGTCCAAAATTTGTTTTTAATTTTAAAAAAAAGTGTTTTTGAAACTGAGACTGATGTAGCTAACAAGAAAGCTAATAGCACACACCAGTCAGCACTGTTTAAGCTCGTAACAGACAGTGTTATGAAAATCAGCTCATGACAGCCAGTTACCTTATTGTTCCTCATATTTTTTGTGTTCTATTCAAAACATGACATCACAGTTGTGCATATCGTTGTTCATTACATCACAGTTGATGTTTAGAAGAAGATGGCCGTTTAGACTAATTAGCTTCCTGTATTAGTCACTGCGGTCATGGACCACGTGCACTAGAATACAGTATATTGTAACAAAACCGTGAACAACAATGAAACGCAGTAAAGATGAGGTAAACTGGCCCTTTTATTTAAGCTAAATAGCTCGAAACTGCCACTGACCAAAATAGAGAGAGAAAAATATTTGAGGTTATCTTGATGTTAATACATAAATAATCACTTTTTAATGCAAGTTAGGCAAGAAATGTCTTATTTCCCCCTTATGAGTATTATGGTTAATGTATTTTTCTTTTTAATTTTATATTTTTCTTCTATTAGAAAAGAAGAGGCTGTTGCTCTTGCTCAGGAATATCTGAGATGTAAAGAGCTGAAAGGAGGGACAAAAACTTCAGCAAAGGCTGCTTTTTCTGACCCCATCAAGGTAATGAAAAACAAAGAAATAGTACCTTGTGTTTCGCACTAAATGAAACCGTGTTTTATGAGAATTGGCTAAAGTTAATGCAGGGAATAAATACAAAGCTGTATTTACATGTATATGCAGTCTTTGTTGGCAAAGTCAGTGAAACTGATGTACAGTAATAGAAACTGCATACCGAAATTAGCTAACAAAATATTAGCTAAAATGAGCAATATACATTTGTTTTTTCTCCTCATTTCAGGAGTTCTTGGCACAAACGATGGAATCCAGAGGCTGACTCCAGCACCAACAGAAAAGAGAAAAACCCGTATATTACACTTTTTACATAAGACTGCTAATAAATGTATCTTATACTGCTGCTTTGGCTTTAAGAAGTTCTTGCCCAACACATTACATGTTATATTCACACAGCTGTCAGTCTTAAATAATGTGATGACAATTGTTTTTTGCTGTATATAGTTGTAGGAGGAAAATTATAAAATGGCACATTACTAAATGTTTGTCAGCATGACAACTTAAGTTAGAATTGAATTTAGGACACCGGTATTATAGAACGACACTTCTTAACTGTATAATCTAATTCTAACTCCAGATAAGAGAGCAGTATTACAGAACTATCCTAACTAGACAAAGTTTCCTAAATACTGTCCTAACTTTAGGACAACTCCAATGGTGTCCTAACTTATCTTTTAACCTTTTAGTTCTATTAGCGGTCATTTAACTGCATGTTCATCCAGAGGTAAACAGTCATGACGGCCAGCGAACGCCTGTCGCTCCCGCAGCTTTCAGTGTAGTCTTCACCAGCATCACAGGAGCGAGTATAAACTTCCAGTGGTTGACAGTTGTGCCCATTACCCACAATGTGTTCGAGTTCGCCGTAAAAAGGGCACGTTATTCGGCCACGGCCACGTCTTTGGTTCGTGTCTTCGGATTCTTTAAACTGTTCCCTGACGCTGCAGCATCGCTCTCCGACGACCGCGTTCGGCCGTTTCGTCCGAAATCTCTTCAAACACAGAGCGGTTGCGATGAGTCTCTTCTAATTTTTTGGTACAGAAACATCGGCCTAAATGTTTGAATCTCAGCAGCGCGAAATTATGACGATTGTCGAGCTGAACTGACGTAAAAGTCGCATTAATTCCGATCTTGCTGTTCAGACCGAGTCGCATTGCCGCAGATCGGATACGTATCGGATTTCAGTACCGCATATGAAAGCGTCTCAAATCAAAATTGAAAATGTCAGATTCAGTGCGGTTTTTGTTGTTTACACTGCCACACAGATAACACACCTGTGTCACATACGGAGAAAAATATCGGATTTGGGCCACTTTTACCTGCTGTGTAAACGTAGCCTAACTTGTTTAGTAAAGCAATAAGCCACGAGCTCCGCTTCAAGTTGTGCCTAAGAACACCCTTCCGGTGATAAAATCGCAGTAACCAATGCTCTTAAGTGGCTTACTGCTTTTATAAAACAGCGGCCAACATGGAATATGATAAAATACACAATTGTTCAGAAAATAATTACTATATAGTAACTATTAATAAGAATTGACATAAACAAGTATTCCACCAATAAATATAGTTCCTTTAGAGTACGGTATCGTTACCAAACAACCATGGACCGTTGCATGAGGAGAACGTTGGGTCGCCGATGGCTGTATATTGCAGTCATTTCATGAATTTATAAATATTTGTCCTATAACAATGAACATATGACAACACAACACTGTTTAATGCAAAAAACTTTTGCTTTGTAAGAACAAGGAGATTCACTCAAGAGAGGCCCGGAATATTCTGTAGCAACTCTCACGAGGACGAATCAATCTGAGCAAAACAACGTTCATTGTGCTCTTCGGTAAATGGAGCTTCGAACAAGCCGGGATGCCCCTGCGTCAGAGCGACGAGGTAGGCACCGGACAGCCGTCGCGATGTTAAACCTCCGTTTGCAGCTTCTGGGTGTAGCATATTTTTTGGTTCAGACTGCTTCATCCTAACAGGAGTTACAACAGAAATCCACAAATGATGCACTATTTGGCTTTAGAGGCTAGAATTTTTAAACTTTCATAGCTAGCACACTATTTAGGGAATACAGAGCCGTTTGGGATTCAGCACGGTTTTGATTATATACGGACATTTGAAACTTGTAATCCCTTCAAGTGACTTTTATACTGCTGATTTACAGTTAATCATGACGTAAGTGCTTTAATTCAAGCCTGTGATATTAAAGTTGTTCAGGCTGTTGGCTTTTAGCCTGTTAGCTAGCTGACCAGCCTAATTCTAATTGAGAACTTCAGTTGCCAGTTCCTCAGTTTGAACAAAAACTTGTTCTTACTTCATCAATATACTCGGTGGTCCATGCGAGCAGCAGCAGAGTCAAAGATTAATCCGTTAACAGCACAAGATTTTTTGTGCCGCGGCGCAGTAAACAGAGTTGAGTTGTTGTGAGGTGGTCATATGTGTGGGTATATCGTGGATTTCACAACAGCTTCGAACGTGGCTCAGCCAATCAGATTTTAGAACCGGCACTGTCCGTTTTATAAACATTATTTGAGACTGTATCATGGCACATTGGAGAGTTGCATGATCCATTCACACTGGTTCTTTTAAACTGGTTAAAATCTGTTCTCTTTAAGTTCCACTGACTTAAGTTTACACATAATACATAAAAACAAAAGAAGCAGACAGAAAAGTTCCTGCCAGCCTGATAACATCTGCAGGTTCTGACACGATTGCTTTGGATGACCAACCATTCTATGCCATTAAAAACGCTGGATTTTGTGGCGCAATCTGTAATAAGTGTAGTATGTTATTCTATTCTATGAATTTCAGTTTCTGCCAGGAATTTTAATTTTGGTTCATAACTAATTTTAATAAAAGAATATTTTCAGAAAAAAGTGCACAATACACAAGAAATATACCTTTGAGACAAAGCCATAGTCATCAGTCTGACACTGACGGTACACATCAGCAGCTCCTCTGGTGCTTTTACACAATTCCACACAGTCCAGCAACAGATCTGTGACACAGACACATTTACTCCGTCACAGCCATCAGCTAAAAGATTGTGCAGGAGGACAACCGTCGGCAGTTCAGAGAAATATCTGTGTCTGATTATTAAGAAGTAAACAGTAAAATGGAAAAAAAAATCTAATCTGCAGTTTCTGATTTATCTTAATCTTTTAAGATGTCTACATATTAAATAATTTAATGTAATAGACCTGCTTTTAATTTTAAGACTCTTAGAGCTGACTCATTAATGCTTGTTTCATTCAAAGGAAATCAGGAAAATCTTGTTCAGTGAAATGTTACCTGTGGCAAAGCAATGTAAGGATCAAGTGTCCTTTCTATAGTTTAATATTTAGAAAGTGGAGCAGTTTTACTGCAGTAAAGTTGCAGGTACCTGTGTGGCAGATAGTGATGGCCTGACAGGCAAGCTTGTGGATGAGCGCCGGTAGGTTAACTCTTTCAGGCAGCACCATCGGGACGTTATCCTCCAGCATCTGGCAGAGGCGCTGAGCCGTGCTAAAGAGAACTCTACCTGTGCTGGAGTTGGGATGATGCTGGTACAGCTCACTAAAGAGGAGCAGAGCTACTTGTTACTCAGTGTAGGTGATCACACAGCTTACCTAATGACCTCGATGCATCATGAAACAACTGAACTGAAATGTACTTGAATAATTGATCTTATCGTATGCATACATTTATAAATGTGCTTCCCCTGAGTCACATGAAGTGCCACCACATCTTTTTAATCTACCAAAATCACAGGACAGCTCAACATGATTGGAGTACAATACTAACTGCTAATTCTCTAATGGCAGTTAAAAGATACTCTTATTAAGAGACCAATTATGCTTTCTTGGACTCCTGCCCACAGTTGGCCTTGGCATCACTGGGATCAAACTTGTGATCTCCTGACTTTAGGGCCAACACAGACAAATGCTTTCATTAAACGCATAAATTGCCCCTCAAATCCCGGGAGCAAAATTTACCCTTAATGAAAAGGTTTATTTCTAAAAACTGGCATTAATGATAAGCACAAACTGGAACTCTGTAAAACTATAATTGTGCATGGCAGTTACACAGTTTATTACAACAACAACTTATTCAACAACCCAGTAAAGGAGAGAAATGCAGCATGTAGCAGGTTATAACATAAATACTATATTAACATTTTTGGTTACTTACTTGGGGTGCTCCTTTTCTAGATGCTGCTGAACTGGTTTCTCAATAGTATCATTACAGGGAGCCACCACCTTGTGCATGATCTCAAGCATCCATCACCAGCCTAAAGAGCATAATAACAAAATACAGTTACTAAAATGGATAGTTGTGCTCCTAAAATGTGACTGGCTGAGTTACATTGGAGGCAACTGTAAAATACTCGATATGTGCACACCTATGACCAGCTCACAACAACCGAGACTGTGATACTGCTCACACTGACCACCAAGCGTATTGACAGATGAAGAATCTGGTTTTGTTTAAACTAAAGAGCTGACAGCTTATTTTATTCACAGTAAGGATAAACGAAAGCAGATATTTTTTATCATTCCGAAATTGCAACTCAAATTATAACAAAGATTAGAAGATTATTCTGCAGTGTTTAGACCAATGTTTCTGTTTTGTTTTCCATTTTTAGAACAGTGATAATCTGTCAAACAGTCTTGTCCACTATTTAAACATGATCAAATAGAGGGATGTTCTTAATAATGACTCACAAACTTAAAATAACTCCCACAGAATATGTACTTAGACACTTTAGGCAAACTTGTCAACCATTTAAAAATAAATATGTTTATCGAATAATAGTCAGGAGATGTACCGCCATGGTCTAGTTCTTAATCTATCTCCGTCGGCTCATCGTAACTTCATCAATTTCCATTGGCTCCTCCTCTTCCACTTTGTCATCAGTTTCCATTGGCTCTTCCTCATCCACTTTCTCATCAAATTCCATAGGCTCCGCTTCATCAAGAAACAAGTTAGAAAAGCTCAAGCTAGTTAAACATGGCTGTTTGAAAGGAGATCATTTTTGCACATTAATCTCTGGTGAAGTGCTAGAAAACTTTTATTCCAGTCCAATATTCACTGATTATATTACTCTGTTATGATGCAGCTTCAGAATGTGTGATGTCATAGATGTTCAAAGGACTGTGGACTGAGATATTCTATTTTTTGGTCAATGGCCTGTTAAACTTCTCTATCAGATTCAAAAAGAGAAACAGACAGTAAGACATTGGAAATATGCACTAGCTAAAACACAGAGCAACATACTGCCGTATTATCTAGGTTTCAGTGTGCTGTTCCATAGTCCTATGGAGCACATTAAGCCCCAAATAACTAATCGATTTAAGTAGTTCTTATACACTATGCACTATTGCACAAAAGTCTGAGATCACTTTATCATTTTTAATAATTATTAATTTATACAAATCAATTATAGAATGTAGACTGAATATAGAGTATTGTGTCACAGACCATGCTTCCATTTATTTAATTGAAAAATCATTGAAATTACTCCAATCAAAACAGCCCTTAAATATAGAAAAAACAAAACAAAATGTACATTTGACACTAAAGTACACAAAAGCTTCCAACACCAAATATAATGAAGAAAGTAATGTATAGTGTATTAACTCTGTTTGGGCAGAGTAAGTTTAAAATAAGGAGGTGTGATAATGTAAACTTTAGTGCCGTTAATTAGTGATTGTAGTCCGGTCCGAATGCTCCATGTCAGTCATTTTTACCAACGTGCATATCAGTGTATAGACTTTGACGCTGCTCTTTTAGCCACGTTGTGCAGCAACGTTTTACTTGACACACTGTGTGCGCGTCATGTGGTTATTAATGTGCTCCCAATGTTTCGGGAGTATGTTTTTGCTATGGATTAGTAGAGATTTCAAAATTTATCTGCATGCTTCCGTTTCCATTTCTATCAATATCAAAAGAAGTGATGGCATGAGATAAATGTGAAAACTTATCAGATACACATTTTAAAATGTAAGGAAAACGTAAAAGAAGTCAAAGGTACAAGGCTGTGTACGTGAATGCCTTATTAGGACTACACTGGTTGGTAAAGAACTACAAATTCTGCAGTGCACCATATTTGGCACAGGCAGGAACTTACAGAGCCAGTATGTATTTTAGAAATGTTATTTTGTACCTCTTTTGTATACACTTTGTGTTTTTTCACGATATATTTTTGTAACAGTAGAACCTCTCTGCTGCGTTAAAGGCACTAAGGCGTCCCTGGGATGACCAGTTTCTACTATCAACTGGCTTGATGCCACTCTGTTCCCAAAGGTAAGGTAACGTTAGATGCTTTTAGATGAAAGCAACGTTTAGCTGTAATAGTTTGCAGAATTGGCTTAAATGGACACACTTTGGTTGATAGTTTCGTAATTTTCATGATATTTTTAGTATATTATTTCTGTTGGTTACCAGGTTAGCTCACAATCTAGCTAAGATCTAAGTTCAGTAAACCGATTTACGCTAGCTAACAAGAGGCTGATTATCTAGGTTAGCTAGCTAGCATAGCCAATTTCAAGCTACCTAGCTGGCATTAAATGTCGACCACCCTGTGGACTATTCCAGTCATAATGTAACAGTTTAGCCACTTGTTTTCCAGCCTTTGTAAAACAAAAATTCCTTATTTTTATCCTCAAATACTGTATACACTGGTGTATTATGGGCTAACAACAAAACTGGTTTCACATAAACATACAAAGTAGGTTATTCAACTCCCATGAATAGTTATGTGGGGAATTGCTTATCGAGGAATTGCTTCGTCATTTAAAATCAGTTCAGTTTTCAATCTTTTTTTTTTATATACCACTTTCTATAAGATGTCCTAAGGACACTTTTGAGAGCAAACTCTTTTATCCTGTCTGTTCTACATTCTCAGTCTAAACTCTAAACTCTCACTCATTTTGGCAGCTGCTTTGTTCTGATTACTTTGAAACAAGACTGTTAAGAAAGTCACAAAAGCATGCAGGCACAGTGAGGCATTTATAAAATTAAAGTTTGGTGATTCATCTGATTAGTTAGTCATTAGTAAATGCCTTAATTACTGGTAGATCATGAACCCTTAATGTAAAGTTATTTTTCTTTCAAAGTAAAGGTAAGTGTTCCGTCTTCTGTCTTCTGCTTAGTCACACAGTATGAACTACTTTTCACTTTATCCAAAGTTTAGTCTCAAAATAAAGGTTTTGGTTGAAAAGCTTTGAACTACTGGCAATGCAGCTTGGTCTCCCATCCAGCCACTGAACAGCCTTGCTTAGCTTCATAGATCAGTCAAGCCTAAGGGATCTCAGCCCCATGGATGCACTGGTTTTGGTAATACTGGTTTCAAGTATTGGCTATTAAAAGTATCTCACCACTCTATTAGGACTCAATAGAGGCTGACTTTTTAAAAATTCTTACATTTGAATCAAGTTATTTTTATTTCAAAGTAAAGGTAAGGTTCAAAACCTGATTTCAACTTCTAATGTGAGTTAGTTTTCAATACAAGCTCTGACCAAGCCCCACATTGCCTAATTTCTGACATGAGACCAGACCAAGATTTCTCATAGATTTGTATACACTGGCTGAAGCTGGTAGCGGATACACGTCTTCTAAAGTAATTCAGTAGAATACAGGGTGATTCAAAAAGATTAATTCGGTTTCAAAATGATTTATTTCACTTCTAAATCATTACAGAACAATGCAGTACATTGTAAACGGTTTAAGTGAGCATAAAGTTTATTATGTAATTTTACAAGTGCTCAATATAACCTCCAGCTGTACGGACAACATCAACGCCATGGTCAAATTCATCCCATAATCGATTGAGCATGTCGGGTGTCACTGTACTCACAGCTCTTTCAATGTGATTTCAGAGATCATCCAGTGTTGTGGAACCAACGACGAATGCTCTGAGCTGTTTGAGGGTCACCGCCGATGAAAATCACGTTGAACAGTTATGATGGATTCACTCTTATTGAAGTGGAGAAAGCAAAAAGCTTTCTGCTCAAGGGGTTGCCATCTCCTCGCAGACTGAAGGGAGCCATCTTCCGGTGACAGTCAGAAACTCTATGACTCCCTCTTTCAATCAATATGTGTTTGGTTCCTAGGTGCCTCACGGTTGTAAAAATATGTTGCTTTGAAATCAGATTAATCTTTTTGAATCACTCTGTATAACCGAGTACATGCAGACTTCCTATGTTCTGTCATAAGTCTTCTGCTTAGTCCCACAATATAAACTACTTTTCACTGTATCCAAAGTTTAATTTCAAAATAAAAGTTTTGGTTGACAAGCTTTGAACTGCTGGCAATGCAGCGTGGTCTCCTCTCCAGCCACTGACCAGGGCCTGCCTTGCTTAGCTTCATAGATCAGTCAAGCCTAAGGGTTCTAACTGGTTGTGGCTGGCTTCCAGTATTGGCTATTTAAAGTATTCCATCACACTATTAGGGCTCAGTGGAGAGGAGCAGTTGTTTCTTCTGTGGTGCAGTCCCCTGTGTCCGGCATCTCCCCCTTCTCCCCTCCGGGCTGGTGGAGCTCTGCTCCCAGCCTACATTCTCTTTTCTTTTAAGTTTAGAGATCGACGGTGAAGACAAGCAATCGTCAACGCAAAGACCAAGATGACGCCTGAAAGTAACAGTGCAGTTTATAATTGCCTAAAAATATGGAACTGTTTGGTGGCCCACTAGAACTTAGTTTAGAAACACTGGTCTAAAATGTTTAAATATGTATGTTTTTTAAATGTTAAGTTTGTTTGTGTTACTTTGAGAAAAGTTAAATACATTGTGTTACGGCTTTATCATTCTGTTGAATGTTTTCTTATTTCATGTAAAAAATATGGTTGCAGCAAGATCTAGAATTATAAAAAGTCTGTTTGGTAGTTCTAAACTTGACTAGTATGGTAAAAACTGGTTTATTTTCAAAAGATGGTTGAAGATCTGGAAAAAATGGATTTAAAACTCTAAACCTGTATGTCATAGAGTTACTACTGTTATTGGTACAACTAAATGCAGTACTCTTGTTGTTGGGTTCACAAGTTCTGTATAGGTGTAATATAAGGGCAAATGCTTGGTATTACAGGCATCTGAAGCCAGTGCTGAGTCTAGGGAGGTGTCTGCTTTTTGCTAAGTACTGATTTTAACCCTTTACGCTGTAGCCTTCTTGGAGCCTACTTTATCTTTTAAGTGTAGAGATTGACGGCGAAGAATGTCCATCAACGCAAACACCAAGACGATGCCTGAAGGTAACAGGGCATGCCCAGTTGTGTTTTTTAGTTGAGCACTTCTAGTGCTAGTAATCTAATGGGAGATCTGTCTGGAGACAGTACTTCGGCAATGTTTGCTTCTCAGTAGATAAAATCATAAAATCAGCCTAGCAACCAAAATGCATTTTGAATGGTCACATTTGGGCCAATACTTTTAAAGAAAAACAAAAACAACGTCCATCAGTGCTCCGCACACCTGCCTCAACAGACGAAGCTGTTAGCTAGTCGGCTAGCTTACCATTAACCCTGAAGAGAATTTTGCTAATATTAGTTAATTGGCTAATATTAGTTAAAGTCCAGCCAATAAGAGTAGATGGATCAAAGCATGACAATTAGAGCATTGTTTTTCGGTGGGCATCTCTGGAACATCCTTAAAAAAGAAAAAAATGTAGGTACACCAGTGAATACAATTATTAACATACTTTATAGAGACAACAAATAGTTCAGCACAGTCCTACGCATATTAGTACATGTATGTAATGATTGTGTTCTAAATAAAAAAACACTAGGTGGTAATAATATTAGAGGACTACAATAGTACACCAAAATATGAACCACAAAACCACCAAGTTCTTTCCATCTTGAGATTTACATTTTCAATATTTTGATCTAATGTGAAGTTGAAGAGAGACTTTTTATTTTACCTATCAGCTACCCAGCTGG